AGGGAAAAGGCTAAGTGCTATCAGGTCACATGGAGAACGTGTCAGGTTTTGTTACTTCAGCTACGTCTCCAAGCCTAAGGAAGGTTTGTCTGTAGTATGGGGAGAATACTGTTACCTGCCCTACGTACTCTGGATTGTTTTAAGAATCAAAAAAAACAAACAAACCAAAACAAAACATGAAACTTCTTTGTAACAACAACAATAGATACACTGCAAAGAATTATAACTGTCATTAACAGGACTCCCGAGGAGACCATTTAATGCACCACGTGCTACATTCTCAGCGAACGGTACAGTGCTATTACAATGATCCCAAAGAATGACTCTCTGAAATAAAGCAATTATTTTTCTCTTTTATGAAGTGGGATGCAAATGGCTCCTAAGAGCACTCCAAGTTTATGTTCTGAATAGCAAAGGCATGAACGAGACTGTGTAGCTTATGATTACAAAGGATATAACTTAACCGTGAAGAAAAGAAACAGTAAAGCAAGTGACATTTCTACCATGAACTTAATTAAGATTGTGACCAAATAACGTTATCATCTACCTTCTCGGAAATACAACCTGACAGCTGTGCCGTCAGGATCCTCTTTTTTAGAGAAGATTTTTGCCTGGAAAGTGTACTTACTATGTGTAGAGAAAAACATTGAGCACAAATTCAAAATTTAAATCACCAAAAACAGAAGCAACATTAAATTCTGTGAGAGTTGCTCTTGCTTTAAGTATCACTGGCCTAAAATACTGTTCTTAACTATGTCACTTCTTGAAATCTCAATCAATTAGCAAACTTCCACCCAACACATAACATTAGGTTGTCGGGAAAGTTATGACATACTTCCCTATGTTTTTTTCCTATGGAAACAGGCATTGTGACTTTCCTGACTGCCCAATACCGGTCAGGCTTTCACGATGCACTCGGTCCAGGCCGTGGAGCACACACACACAGACTGTGACTGTCATCAAGCCCACGGTTTAAAAGACAGTCTTCCATCTGCTGTTAATTAAATTTGCTTCTGTTATTTCAGTTATTTCGATATTTTAAAATACTTTCTTACATAACTTAATTTTAAAATTAAACTGGCCATTTTGAATACCCTGAACTCGGAGATGGTAGTTGAGGGATGCTTGTTGAATTCTGAGTTTGTATGGCTGTATTCCTGGATCACTAAAAAGTCTGAGGCATAAACAACAAGCATGTTACTTACTTCGCCTGATCTTTTCTTTCCAACTTATTTTAATAAGTGATAGCCTTCTTATTTTTTCTCTTTCTTTCTTTCTTTTGGGAACAAAGTTATCTTAAAGGCACTATAAGTTCCTTTCTATGGGGAAAGAATGAAGTATAAGAATGTACCCCCGTTTCCCAGAAAGGTGTACAATATCGTAACACAGGAAAAACACACGCGTTGAGAGGATTTAGTATCCTGATGTTCTGCTTCCATGCTTACCTCTATTTCTCTTTCAGGATTCAGATCATGATCCCACAGAATTATTTTTCTGTCTTTACCTCCTCCAGTTAATAACATCCCATTTCTCATCTGACAAAGTGTGAACACACTGCCATCATGAGCTTTGATTTGTTTGCTGATTTGATATACACCTAATATGACAAGGAAAAAATAAAAACACTAATGATGATGATAACACTTTTCATCAGACTTTAGTGTCCTTTTGGGAAACAAAGTTAGCAGAACTAGAGTGAATAATCAGAAGTTCATATGACTTCATTAATTAAAAAAATCTATTTTTGGGATCAGCAGTTAGCGTAATGGCTATGTCGCTGGACTCCCACGTAGTCGACTGCGGTTCGCGTCCCGGACCTGGTGGCTTAAACTCACGCCGGGCACGTGTGCGTGCATGTCCAAGATCCCGACAGGAGAATAGAGGAGAAGGGATTGTGGCATGGCCATCCCCCTGGGGCGGTGATTTCTCACTTTCTGTCTCTATGTCTCTCTCTGTCTTTCTGGCAAGCGCATGCGCCCTATAGCAAAAACCTCTCCAAAAAAAAAAAAAATCTATTTTTGTCAAGTCTTGTGTAAGGCAGGTGATGAGGCTTGAGACTTAATGTAATCTTATGTCAATTTATTTACTCTGAAAATATTTCAAAATACTTTCTTATAGAAAGTATGCCAGAGTAGCAATGATTCCATAGATGAGAGGATCCAGTATCAACCTCAGAATTTTACGCTCTCCTACATTATCTTGTCCGTAGATAGGTATTATTCTTCCTCTTGGGAACTCAGCTCTAAAACCAGAGGAGGAATGGCTGTGCCTGTATCACACAGTTCACCACTTGTGACTAGGACACAAGTCTCCTACTGCAGTCTTCCTTCAACCTTGCAAAAGTGTCATTTTCTGCTGCCATGCCAGTCATGAATATTTAACCACTACTGGTCTGGGCGTGTTCTGCTCTGCCAAGGATGACCCTCTGTATTTGCTGACATATAGGAGACTAGGAGGAAAGGTGGGCATAGAAGCCTGAAGCAATGGCTTTTGACCACAAAACAGAGAAGAATTTCAGTATTTAACTGGTCCAGCTCTGGGGGCTGGCAGGTGGTGTGGTGATTAAGGGCACTGAACTCCCGCATGACTGACCACGGTTTGAGTCCCAGATCTGGTGGCTTGCCTTCTCACTATACCCCCTCTGGTCAAATTTAAATAAATAAATTAATAAGTTAATAAAATAATTCTTAAAAAACAAAACAAAACAAAACTGGTCCAGCTCTATCAATGTGATTGCTAACTGACAGCCCAACTTTCTTGTATGCCCATAGCAGTTTACTAAGTACCCAGGGAGAGACGAGGTACATACATAAAAAATATTTTAAGTAAAACCCATGTGAAGCAAGATTATGCACCCCCCACCTTTTTTTTTTTTTTAACATCAGTTCTTTTTTCTTAAGGCTGAGAATAAGTTATAGAATACTGAAACTCTTTTTTTTTTTTGTACTTACGATGCCTTACTTGGAGAAGTTCTATAATGAGGCTGGCAGAACAAGAATTAAACTTTTTGGAAGATAATGACTTGTAGAATGAATTACCAGGTTCAAAATGGGAGCGTAAAACCCTGTTTAAATATGGTCAAAGCTGGTCAAAAAACAGCCCTTAGAGCCCTTGAAAAAAAAAAACTCAATTACAAGTTTAAAGACTGTAAATTTCCTAAAATTACTCATTAATTGATGAACGGGTAAACAGAACATGGCATGTCCATGTAATGGAATGTTACTCATCCTTAAGAGGTTCCGGCGGCTGGATCCCACGTGACTGTCTGTACAGCTCGAGGCTCAGGCTCAGCAGCCGTGTGTGTACGTGCATGTCCAAAATCCCAAGAGGAGGAGAGGGGAGAAGAGACTGTTGTGGTCATTCCCCATGGCAGGTGCTTTCTCTCTTCCCCTCTCCGCTCTCTCTTTCCAGCACACATGCCCTGTAGCCAAAAGAGTTTGGACTTGTTTCCCCACGCAATGTCAAATCACTAAATTACAAACACTGCATAAGGAATTCTAAAAGAGGAGAGCGTATAGTGCTCCATCAGAATGTAGAAAAATAAAGTTTTTCCATTCTTAATTCGGCCTTCCATATTTCTAAACATGAGGAATCCAGTTAAACACTTAAAATTCTCTACAAATGATGGAATCTTAGAAAATAGAAAATAAAACTAAAGGAAAAAATGCTTTGTCAGAAATAAAAATACAGGGACCAGCAGTTAGCGTAATGGCTATGTCGCTGGACTCCCACGTAGTCGACCGCGGTTTGAGTCCTGGACCTGCTGGCTTAAAACACGCCGGGCTCGTGTGCGTGCGTGCCCAAGATCCCGAGAGAATGGAGGAGAAGGGATTACGGCACGGCCATCCCCCCTGGAGGGTGATTTCTCGCCTTCTATCTCTCTGTCTCTCTCTGTCTGGCGAGCACACGTGCACTATAGCAAAAAACAAACAAACAAAAAAACCAAACCAAAACAAAACAACAAAACACAAAAACTCTCCAGAAAAAAAAAGAAATAAAAATACAGCGAGCCATTCAAAGTGAGGTTCCCACCCTCCTCTTCTCACCCTGGAAATTACTTCCTTAGGAGGATCTAGTATCAATTTAGCTAAAACAAAATGAAACAAAACTCAGTGCTTCACATTTAAACAAACTGCAAAGATTCCTTTATATAATATAGTATTTACCTATAAAACAAATTTGTAGTCAGAAATTTCTTTCTCAGAGGCTTGTATTTCTAACATTCCAGTATAAGCCAAATAACGTTTGAAATACTTGCCAAGAAAAATAATTACCCTTGAATTGAAAAACCTCCTCCACCTCGAGGCTTAATCATATGGCCAAGTCTATCCGAGCAAAACTGCAAATCCCTCCAGTCTTTGTCATCTTTAACAGGAACGAAGTTTCCATAAAAAGCAAGTTTACCTTGCCTACCAAATAAAGATGTTCAGAGGGCTTTCTGTCCTGTTTAACCATAGAGTGAAGCATCAGGAAGACTCGGAAATTCATGCTGTAGTCTTAGCCACTAGGAAAATGGGGCTGTGATTTGTATTTGGAGAATAGGTAAAATAGAATCTGACAAAGACTTAAAATGGTGAACATTTGTTTGTTTGTTGGATTTTTTTTTTTTTTTTTTTTTAGGGGGGTCGGGCTTTCCAATTTTGCTATAGGGCGCATGCGCTTGCCAGAAAGACAGAGAGAGACAGAGAGACAGAAAGTGAGAGGGGGATGCCACGCTGCAATCCCTTCTCCATTCTCCTCTCGGGATCTTGGGCATGCACGCACACGCACCCGGTGTGAGTTTAAGCCACTGGGTCCGGGACTTTAACTGCAGTTGACTACATGGAAGTCCAGCGACATAGCCATTATGCCAACTGCTGGTTCCAATTTTTAAAAAGAATTATTTATGGGGTTGGCAGGTGGCATGGTGGTTAAGGGCACTGGACTCCCACATGGTCGACCACAGTTCGAGTCCTGGACCTGGTGGTTTGCTTTCTCACTGCCTTCCCCTGCTCTCTCTCTCTCTCTATCTCTGGGTTTGGTGGGTGGGTAAGTAAAGTAAGTAAGTAAAATAAAATAATTTTTAAAAAAAGAATTATTATTATTTTTATAAAATTCACTACAAGGCATGTGTGTTTACCACAGAGAGGGGCACAGAGTGAGAGAGTGAGAGAGAGAGAGAGATGGAGAGAGAGAGAGAGATGGAGAGAAAGAGGTGGCTTGAAAGCAAGCCACCAGGTCTAGGACTCAAACTGTGGTTGGCTGTGTGGGAGTCCAGGGTCTTTACCACCACACCAACTACTGGTCCCAAGAATGGTGAACATTTTTAATGGTGCTGTAGCTATTCCCAACTTCTGCTCCCCTACTTAAAAGATTACAAACGCATGTAAAAGTTTTAATTATTTCATATATATATGTAGACATATATATATTTAGACATGAACTAGATTTGAAATATACATTTATATAAATGTTTAGATTTTCCTCATGTTTAGAAATACAGAAGCATGTGAAATATGTGATTTCAACATATGTAGACCTGACATATATTTTATACCTACTTAAGAAACAGAAAACACTAATTATTTTGAAGATTTCTGTTAGTTTACATTTGAGGAAAAAAAGGACTTAGAAGTAAAAAGAAAATATACAGAGAGGCTGTGAAGCATAAAATATAGTTTTGTTTGCCTCTTATTTACCAGAGTAAAAGGATTAACTACAAAATTATTCTTTTGCCATCAAAAAACAGCTCTCTTATCAGACAGGGTATCGCAGTAATCCCCAAGTTCTGGCAGGTAGGACTGCCGCAGGTGCAGAGCTGTCGCACTTGAGAACATGCAAACTGGACTGTGTACTGAATTAAGAAACAAACTCCACATATCTTTTGTGGTCTTGGCTTGAACATGTCCTTCACTGTACTTCCAAGTCCCTCCTACCATACTCTTGCCACCGGAAACTCCAGAGAGAAAGAAAGAATATTCGGAGCCAGCAGGTGGCATGGCGGTTAAGATGCTGGACTCCCACAGGGCCAACTGCATTTTGAGTCCTGGAGCTGATGGCTTGCTTTCTCACTTTCCTGCTCTGTCTCTCTCTGGTCAAATTAAAAACTCTTTTTTTAAAAAAGAAACAAATGTTTAGCACCTTCACCCACAACAAGTCGGCGGTGTTGGCACAACACCGACCATTTCGTGTGCCCAGCAGCTTACAAGACTGGATTTCCTGTTTCCTGTTTGTGAATATGCACAGAAGATAACCACATGTTTTTCAGACGAAAACCGAAATTAAACACTCTGAACTCCTTGCCCAATTAGAAAACATTAAGGCTAATGAAGGGTACATGTATATCCCAGCTCTGCTCAGTATTGGAGGAAATGTCACAATTTAAATGTTACTCTTTTAATATACCTCTTATATTGTTGTGGCATTTTTTTTTTTACTGAATAAGTGTGCCCAGGAAAGAGAATTAAATGGGGAAGATAGCTGATAATACTGTTATTCTTTTAAAACTTTATTTGTTTATGGGGAGGGGCAAAGAGAGAAAGGAAGAGAGGCAGGTGACGCTAACAGAGTCATGACCTACGCCCAGCCTCAATCAGCCTGGACCCCGGGAGGTACAGGTGTGCCTGGCACGAGCAAGGCGGCCGTGGGGCATGAACCCAGGTCCTTCCCAAGTGGGTTCCTCTTTAAAATCCTCAACTCATTGCCATCCTTCCTTCCTTTTTTTATTTTAGTTTTTCCAATAGGACAAGTTCACTCATGGAAAAGAGCGCGCGAGAGAAAGCAGTGAGAAAGTGCCCCCTCGAGGGGTATGGCAACGCTGCAATCCCTGCTCTCCTCAGGGTTTCTGACACACACTAACGTACAGGTGCACCTGGCATATTTTTCAAGCCACTGAAAAATTTTTCTCAAGTGGCCTGTCTAGGATGTGAACTGCACAGCTGGCCATATGGGACCCAGCCCCTTAACCACCGTACCATCTGCTGGCCCCACTGCCATCCTTCCTTATTTGAATTTTGAACCTAAACTGAATGAAAGAGGCCGATAATATATGGGGAATGATTGATATCAGGATGAACAGTAACATAATTTAAGATTTTTTTTTTCCTTTTTAAGGTTTTGTCATAGGACATGTGCACTCACTGAACACAAGAGACAGGACACAGACACCCACAGGTGGTGGCCACACCACAATCTCTTCTCCTTCATTTTCCTCTCGGGATTTTGGTATGCATGCACATACACCCGGCATGATTTCAAGCTGCCAGGTCTGGGATTCAAACCGTGGTTAGCCATGTGGGAGTCTAGCACTTTAACTACCATGCCATTTGTTGGCTCCAAGGATTATTATTTTTTTAAAGAATTATCTAATTTTATTTATTCATACATTTATTTAAATTTGACCAGAGACAGACAGAGAGGGGGAAAGTGAGAAAGCAAGCCACCAGGTCCAGGACTTGAACCAGGGTTGGCCATGTGGGAGTGGTCTAGCTCCTTAACCACCATGCCATCTGTTGGCCCCTATTATTATTTTTTAAAGAATTATTTTATTATTATTTTTATTTATTTTTAAAGAGGTTTTTGCCTTAGCATGTGTGTGCTCACCAGAGACACAGAGACGGTGACAGAGAAAGTGAGAAACCACCTGCCAGGGGAGATGGCTATGCTGCAATCCCTTCTCCATTCTCCTCCCGAGACCTTGGGTACACATGTACACAGTGTGATTTTCAAGCCACCAGGAGCAGGACTTGAACCGCAGCTGGGCATTTGGAAGTCTAGTGATGTAACCAATATGCCATCTGCTGGTCCTTATTATTATTTTTTAACTTGGTATAGGGCACATATGAAAGAGAGAGAGAAGGTGAGAAAGTAAGCTGCCAGGTTTGGGACTCAAACCATGGTCGGTCATGTGGGAGTCCAGCACCCCAACTATACCACCTGCTGCCCCCGCCCTCTGCCAAAGATTATTTTTTAAACTTCTGAATCTAATTCATTTGAGAACTGCCAAGTTTAGAAATACAGGTCAATGAATTTGGAAAACATCAATTTGTTAGTATTTAGTATATAATTAAAAAAATACAGCATAAAATCCACAGAATCAAATAATTATTAATGCTACATTTAAGTGCGGAACTTCAGTGAAAATAGTGCTTTAAATGAGTATCACTCAACTTTTCCTATTACACTGACATAGAAAGTAAGATGAAAGTCATTTCCTTAAATGTCTGACAAACAACTTCCAAAGGGTTAGTACCAAATGTCAGACACTGTGCTGGTCCCGGGAAATCTACGGGGAAGAGATGTGTAAGCTGGGTCTGTCTTTCTGAGGGGAATAGGGGTTCCCTTGTTCATAAATCACTTGGGGTGATTACTGAAGTCTGGTGCAGGGACTCCAGCGAGAGCGGTAAGGAGCTGCTGAGTGTGCTGAGGGTGGGGCGGGCAAATGCCATGAGGACATGCTGCTCAGCCAATCCCCGGGGAGACGGCTCAGGACCTGGGCTTGGCTCCCCGTCACCTCCTTTCTCTTGCTCTTGCTGGTGGACTTTTGGGGACTGACAGGCCTGTTCTGTTTCTACTGCTGTCACCTGCTGCTGCTGATAAAGAATTTCTCTGCTCCTGTCCTACTGGTCTTAGAACTGGGTCTCTAATTTTTCTCTCTTAACCTTTGACTTTCAGTGAAGTACATGGTACTCTGGATATTTTTTCAAACGTCACCTCCTTTCTCTTGCTCTTGCTGGTGGACTTTTGGGGACTGACAGGCCTGTTCTGTTTCTACTGCTGTCACCTGCTGCTGCTGATAAAGAATTTCTCTGCTCCTGTCCTACTGGTCTTAGAACTGGGTCTCTAATTTTTCTCTCTTAACCTTTGACTTTCAGTGAAGTACATGGTACTCTGGATATTTTTTCAAGCTTTATTTATTTTTGGGGAAGAGATTTTTCCTTGCCAGAGAGACAGAGAGAAAGAAAGCGAGAAATCGCCCCCAGGAGAGATGGCCACTCCCTAATCCTTTCTCCTCCATTCTCCTCTTGGGATTTTGGGCACGCACGCAGGCACACATTCCCAGCTGAGTTTTAAGGCAATGGTCTGGGGTTCAAACCATGCTCAACTATGTGGGAGTCCAGCAACGTAACCATTATGCCACCTGCTGGTCCCACCGAACTTTATTCTGCAATAGTAAGGAAAAGTGAGGTCGAAAAGGGTTATTTTCAATGTCCTTCCTCTTAATTTTTTCATTACCATAGAAAAGGGTGAAGTACATCTATGTATCTGGGTGCGAATGAAACTTAAGAATAAAATATCTCTATATTTCCAAGGAAAACTGATTTGAAACAAAGTTGAGTAACTGCCATGGCCCACTACAGGGATAGGAAGAGGGATACAGTAGGAAATAGGAAAAAGGAAAAAGAGGGGGAGAGAAGACTGAACTATGAGCTTATCCTTCTTTCCCCATCTGCCATGTTATCACATGGCCATGAATTCAGCCCCACAGACATCCCAGGACCAGCCCAGGGGAGGGGACCATCTTCAATTAGCATGTATCGATGGGGCCAGCAGGGGGCGTAGTGCTTATGGTGCTGGACTCCCACCTGGCGGACTGCAGTTCCAGTCTCAGACCTACGGCTTGTTTTCTCACTTTTTTCCTCTAATGAAATGAAAAAAATAAACATAATAATAATAAGGGAGAGGTTGCTAAGTCTGGGACTCGAACCATGGTAGGCCATGTGTGAGTCCAGAGCCCTTAACCACCACGCTGTCTGCCAGCCCCAATAAAATAATTCTTAAAAAAAGAAAGAAAGAAAAAAAGATTAAGAGAAACTTTAAGAATGAAGAGTGCTGGGGACTCTCGCTGCTCCATGCAGCGCTGGTTGGCCTGGCCTGGGTGGACAGACTGCAGGAGCACTGGGAGGGAGTGCATTTAAGCTGAGGATACTGTACCTTTGGGTCCTTTCCCAGGCGTGGGCTCTACAGTAGTTTTGCTCCAGATCAGCATGACTCCACCTGAGTCTCCAGTAATAACATCTCCGTTCCCCAAGAACGCTAAGCACTGCACAAATTTTGGTTTTTCATATTTCTACAATGCAACAGTGAGAATTTTTAGTTTCTCCTTGGTCATGACTGTATGATCACTCAATAATCAAAAAAATTAAAGTTTTATATACTTGATGAACTCTTAACACTCTGATTCTTACCCCAAAAATTCCCTGTTTTCTTGTTAGTGAATTGCCACTCCAGGTCCAGAAAAAAATATGAGATTTGCCAGATGTTATTATGGTATTTGCATCTGTTGGGTGGAACTCCACAGCCAGAACAACTTCATTTGTTGTCTGTGAAAAGACAAAGTTAGATGAATAATTATCTTTATCTCCATTAAGCTACTGACAATCGAAGATAGAAGAAATTTAAGAAAATGCCTTTTCTTCCTAGATCTATTTTCCTAAGAAATTTAAAAAAAATTAAGTTTATTTATTTCTTGTAGCGTGGGGGAGGGATCCTCAAGCTGTCCTCTACCCGCAGTTTCAGCCGCCGGAAGTGCAAGCCCAGCATGCTCAGGAAGGTTCCAGGATAACCCAGGACTCCTGCCATGTGCGTCCGGCTGCTACCACTGTGACACCACCTAGCCCCTCCTGAAAAGTTCAATAATAGACTTCTAGAGTAGTGATTTATATTTGATGCCCTTTTATCATTATGCCATCTTTTTTTTAAAAAAAAGATTTACTTAACTTCATTCATTCATTTTTTTAAATTAATTTTTATTTATTTATTTTTTGGAGAGGTTTTTGCTATAGTGTGTGTGTGTTTGCCAGACAGAGAGAGACGGAGAGACAGAAAGTGAGAAATCACCCCCCATGGGGGATGGCCATGCCGCAATCCCTTCTCCTCCATTCTCCTCTTGGGATCTTGGGCACACACGCACATGCGCCCAGCGTGAGTTTAAGCCACTGGGTCCGGGACTTGAACCGCGGTCGACCACGTGGGAGTCCAGTGACATAGCCATTACGCTAACTGCTGGTCCCTCATTATACCATCTTTAATGGTATGTATTTATACAAACTTTTACTAGTGGAAGACATTTATATAAATCATAACTGATTACTTATTTACACATACGGAAAAATTCTACTGGAACTATCAAATACAAGAGCAATGTACTGTTTGAAAGATACTGCCTTTAAAAGAAAACACTGTCTTCAAGGCTGTTTTGTCAAATATTGAAATAGCCTGATCTTTTCTTGTACTATTAGTACTGACTATTCATTCAACAAAATATTACTAATGTAGAGATTTCAGATTGAGGCCTTAAGTGTAGACGTAAGCCTGGTGGTGCAGTGGCAATGAGATGCTGTGATGCTGGACCCACATGGGAAGGTCCCAGGTTCATGTCCTGAGGCCTCCCTGAGCATGCTGGTCCTGTGATCCAGGCTGGCTGACACTGTGGGTAGCCTGTGGGGTGAAGACCCTATTGGGGGTGACTTATCTCTGTTGCCCTATCTTAAGGAACAAATAAAAAAAATTTTTAAAAATTACTGTGGTCTTTATTGATTCCTATAGAAGTGAAAAAAAAAAAATCAAAACTCTGATGCCCTTTCCTCAAAAAAAAAAAAAAAGAAAAGAAAAGAGAAGACTTCCATTAAAAAAAAAATTTTTTTTTTTTTGAGAAATTTTTGCTATAGGGCATGTGCCGCTCGCTGGGAAGACAGACAGAAAGTGAGAAATCACCCCCCAGAGGGGATGGCCACACCGCAATCCCTTCTCCTCCATTCTCCTCTCGAGATCTTGAGCCCGTATGCACGCACACATGCCCAGTGTGAGTTTAAGCCACTGGGTCCAGGACTTGAACTGCGGTCGACTACATGAGAGTCCAGCGACATAGCCATTATGCCAACTGCTGGTCCCTAAAATACTATTGATTTTTAAAGATAGTCTTGGGACCAGCTAATAGGCATGGTGGTTAAGGCAGCAAGATCCTACAAGGCCGACTGTGTGGTTCACACCAGGTGCATGCATGTGAGTACCCCAAATCTCAAAAGGAGGAAAAAATGGAGGAGAAGGGACTGCAGCGTGATCAAACCCCATTGGGGGTGCTTTCTCACTTACTCCCTCTTCTCTTTTGCTGAATACATATGCACTCTTGCAAACTAAAAAGAAAAGAAAAAGAAAAAAAGATTAGCATTGCTTAAGCTTTTACTTGGACAAAATCGAGACTACTAGATGGCTGAACTTTACACTGAACTGAGATACTCAGGGGTTATGAAACTAACTACAAATATTCCCAGTGTACAAACTATGGTGCTAATAAGATAGTCAAGATACAAATTTAAGTAATCTATGAAATGAAATCCTTTGTGCATAAATGTTGCCTTATAGGCTATTTTAACTTTTTTTTTTTTAATTTGGTATAGGTGTGTGTGCTTGCCAGAGAGAGAGAGACAGAGAGAGAAAATGAGAAAGCAGCTCCCAGAGGGATAGCCACCACAGTCTCTTCTCCTCTATTCTCTTCTCAGGATCTTAGGCATGGCATTCACATCTGGTGTTTTTCCAACAACTGGGTCTGGGACTAGAACTGCATGGTTAGCAATGTGGGAATTCAGCGACCTTAGTCACCATGCTGCCTGGCTGGCCCTGGGATATTTTAACTTTTTATTTATGCATAATATATGTAAAATAGGGAAGCACACAAATCCTAAGTGTCAGGCTCAATAAAGTGTCACGAACAGAACTCACTTCTGTATAGCACCCAGAGAAAGTACTGGAAGGTTATTAGGGGGTTGTCGGAAAAGTCTTGACGAAGTCTTCTATGTAAAAATGCATCATGTCTCTTCTGACGGCCTTCCTGGCATACCTCAGATCCACTTTTCAGTCACTATCTCACCCTGCCCAAGTAACCATTATCTTGACTGCTAGCAGGACAGATCAGCTTCATCTGTTTCTTTTACATGGAATAAGTGTGCATTTTTTCATGTCTGGCTTATTTTCTCCACATTACATTTGTGAGATCCATTCATGTTGGTGCATATATTAATAGTCGTTAGCTGTTCATTCTAACTGCTGCAGTGTGTTCCTCTGTATTAAAAATCACATCACTGATTTATCCATTCTCCTGTTGATAAGCATTAAGGCACTTAATTTATTTTTGCTACTACAAATAGCATTGCTATTTGTCTTCTAGTAAATTTAGGTATCTATTCATGTTAGTTTATACCTAGGAGAGAAAGAGGTGAGAGCATATGCTTATGCTCAGCCTTAGGAGGTAATGCACTAGTTTTCCAAAATGCACCAGTAGGAGTGGATAAGAGTTCCGCCTACTTTACATCCTCACTAACCTTGGTATAAATCAACATTTTGTCTTTTTTTTTTGTAGAGATTTTTGCTATAGGGCACGTGCACTCACTAGAAAGATCGAGAGGGACAGAGACAGAAAGCGAGAAATCACCCCCCAGGGGGGATGGCCACGTTGCAATTCCTTCTCCTCCATTCTCCTCTCGGGATTTTGGGCATGCACGTACACGTGCCCGGCGTGAATTTAAGCCATCGGGTCCGGGGCTTGAATTGCGGTCAACTACATGGGGGGTTAGTGACATAGCCATTATGCCATTATGCTAACTGCTGGCCCCACATTTTTGTCTTTTTTTTTTTTTCGAGAGATTTTTACTGTAGGTGCCCGTGCGCTCGCCAGACAGAGAGAGACATAGAGACAGAAAGCGAGAAATCACCCCCCAGGGGGGATGGTCACGCCGCAATCCCTTCTCCTCCATTCTCCTCTCGGGATCTTGGGCACGCACGCACACGCGCCCGGCGTGAGTTTTAAGCCACCGGGTCCGGGACACGAACCACGGTCGACTACGTGGGAGTCCAGCGACATAGCCATTACGCTAACTGCTGGTTCCCCACTATGTGGTCTTTTTTTGAGATGTTTTTGTTATAGGGCATGTGTGCTCACTGGAGAGAGCGAGAGACCGAGACAGAGACAGACAGAAAGAGAGAAATCACTTTCCAGGGGGGATGGCCACACTGTACCTACATGCACCTGGTGTGAGTTTTTTTAAGCTGCCAGGTCTGTGACTCAAACCAAAGTCGACTACATGGAAGTCCAGCGATGTAACCGTTATGCCATCTACTGGTCCTGACATTTTTGTCTTTCTCATGTAAGGTATTTTAATAGGTGCACAGTGGTATCCTACTGTGCCTTTAGTGTGAATTTTCTTGATATCTAATGAGGCTGAGTACTTGTTAATGCTTACTAATCACTCAAAACAGCCTAATTTGTGAATTGCCTCTTGAAGTCTTCTGCTATTTTTAAAGGTTAAACTGTCTTTTTTCCCCTGAAGTATAGATGTTCTTTATATATTTTGAACAGGACTATTTTCTTGAAAATATGTACTGAAGATGGGGACCAGCAAGTTAGCCTAATTGCTATGTCGCTGGACTCTCATGTAGTCGACAGCAGTTCGAGTCCCGGACTCAGTGGCTTAAACTCACGCTGGATGTGTCCATGCATGCCCAAGATCCCAAGAGGAGAATGGAGGAGAAGCTATTGCGGTTTCGTCTTCCCCCCTCGGGGGTGATTTCTCGCTTTCTGTCTCTCTCTGTCTGTCTGGCAAGCACACCTGCCCTATAGCAAAAGTCTCTTAAAAAAAAAAAAGGAATGAAGATATTTTCTCACATTTTAATGGTATCATTTGATGAAGAGAAACACTTATTATACCCCCACAGGCCCCACATACACACACTTATAGTTATTTATGTCTTATTTAAGAAATCTGCTTATGGGAGTCAGCAGGTGGTCTAGTGGTTAAGTCCCTGGACTCCCACATGGTCGAACATGGTTTGAGTCCTGGACCTGGTGGCTTGCTTTCTCACTGTCTTTCTCTACTAGACTGCTCTTTCCCCTGTCTCTCTCTGGTGAGCACATGTATCCTATAGCAAAATTAAAAAAAATAATAATAAAATTTAATTATCGTTTTTTTTTAAAAAGAAATCTGCTTATAAAAGTGTTCTATATTTTCTTCTGAAAGTTTTACAGTTCTACTCTCATACTCAGATTCATAATCCATCTAAAATTTATTTTTTGTGAATGCTGTGAGGTAGACATCAAGATTAATTTCTCTCCATGAGTATCTGATTAATGCAGCTCCATAAAACTGAAAACATTCTTTACCTGCTGCATGCCAGCCTGCTGTCAATCAAGCAACTGACCTAAGTAGTCTGTTTCTTGAGTCTCCATTTTCTTCCACTGATGTCTCTTTGTACCACGATGTCTTAATTTTATAAAAGGCCTTGATATCTCATAGTTCAGTCCTGTATCTTTATTCTTTTTCTTTATAACTGTCTTGACTATTCTTAACTCTATATTTCCACTTGCACTCAGCTGTTTCTCACTTCTATAAAACCAGCAGATGGCATAGCAGTTATGTCACTGGACTTCCGCACAGTCAACTGTGGTTTGAGTCTGGGCCCGTCGGCATAAAACTCACACCGAGTACATGAATGTGGGTGCCCAAAATCCCGAGAGGAAAATGGAGGAGAAGGGACTGTGGCATGGCCAAGCCCCCTAGGGGGGTGATTTCTCACTTCCTGTCTCTGTCTCTTGGGCAAGTGCACATGCTCTATCGCAAAAAAAAAAATCTCTCCAGAAAAAAAAAAAAAATTAAAAAACAAAACACCTGCAGGGGTTTTTGACTATGTTGAACAATACAGATCAATATGCAGAGAAATTAATTTTTTTTTGAGATGCCCCAAATTCTGACAGGATGGAGAAATGGTGGAGAAGGAACTGCAGCATGACTACCCTCCACTAGAGGGGAGTGCTTTTTTCTTCTTCTCCTCTCTTTCTCTGTGTCAAGGACACACATCCACTGGCAATTTTTTTTTTTTTTTTTTGAGGGGGTTTCTTTAAGGGACGTGGGCGTTGCAG